TTGAGGGGAACAAAATCATTACCAATCATAGCAATTTATCCAATAGTTGTTGAGATTCCTACAGCCACACTGCTAGCATTGCTAAAATGGAAAAAAAAAATCAGTCAGAAATGAAGACGTAACAAAAAAAATAATATTCTGAGATTAAAAAAAAATGCATTAAAACAGGAACAAGCATTTTAGTCTCATAATCATTGATGGTTTGCAATCAGGTTGTTTCAGAACCTCCTTGTTTTGTCTTCCAGCTGCTACAGCTTCACATGTGGGAGCTACACAGTACAGTAACAGTCTTTTACTGTTCGCCACTGAGACATTTTACTGGAGCAATTTGGACTTAACGATCTTTCTCAAAGAATGGGGGAGAGTGATATTTACTACCCAGCCCATATTTTCTCAGCCAGTTGAGGGATTGTTCTGTCAACTTTTGCTATTATTGCCTGGTCAACTTTCACCAGATATATTTCACAGCTTTACTGCTGTCAGAGAGAGGATGATGTTGTTTGAAGCGGGAGTTGTGATGCAACTTCAGTGTTGCAGATACAAAGGGCTTAAGAAATAAAAATTCAAAAGACAATTTATCATTGAAGTGCACTGAGAGAAAAATAATAAAACAATTCAGTACATGTGACATTACTGGAATCAGACACCTTATCTAATCAGGGAGAGACAGTGACTCAAATGTTGTTATATAAGCTGAGATAAGCGTCTGTTAACAACCTGAATCTGTCAGGAAAAAACTGAACAGAATGAGAGTTGGTGTTAGCGTCTTTTTGAAGCACACCTGGACTCACTAACACTGGGTCCCCTCTTACAACTACTGCCATCTCATATTACATCCTCTGGCCAGGGATGGGATACACACACGCACACACACACACACACACACACACACACCAAACACCCCGCTCACTCAGGAGCTAAATTAACAAAAGGCAATTATCCCAAGGGTGTTACAGCCCCGCTGGACAAGAGAAGACATCAATTACTTCTTATTGACTGTAATCAATACACTCATCAAGATGGGTAGATGATCTGTTACAGCCTGCATTGTGTGTGAGTGTGTCTCCTTATGTTTTAACCATGAGAGTATAAGTTGCACTAAGACATAGGATCAATACTGTGAATATGAGACACCCATAGAGGAATGTAAATTAGACGTTTGTCCCCACAATGTCACTTGATTGCTAACTGATAGCTCCCTGCTTTCTTGTTTTTTTTTTTGTTTTTTTTTTACAGTTCATGACACACACAGCATCCTCCCCACCCTAACGCAGTATATATGGATATCTTGTAAAGTGAAGCTCCTCTGGAATGAAAGCATTAAAATCATGATTTTCCTGAGTATTACACTTTCACATGTTAAGAATGCATTAAAATGCATTAGACCAGGGCTTCTCTTTGTTTGATTTGTATTATCTCAACATCATTGTCATGTAGATCCCAGTTGTTTGACCTATATTTTGTCAACAACACATTGGTTTCGAATATGAGAAATATGATATTTTTCTGTCAACTCTTATCCTCAACACTTCCTTGACATTTTGGGAACGTTTGTTTCCTTTCTTCCTGACAGGTAGATGAGAAGAATGAGACCACTCTCATGTCCGCAGGGTACATGCTACAGCAAGTAGCCAGTGAACTTAGCTCTCAGACATTATACCAGTTATAAATTTTCTCACTTAAATCTAGGCAAGAAAGCGAAAACTATTCCTTTAATATATGCTACTGTACAACAAATATATTGAAACCCATAAGGCCTTGTAAAGAGCTCAGTCAGCAGCGCTCATTAATCTTCCTTCTGCACTGTGGTCAAAGTGATTCTAGGTTTTCAGCTGACCACTGGTTCATCGGTTTCTCTGATCTGCGTCACAATCAACCATAAACTCTAAGATGAACTGCTGTCAACACATTTACAGGTTTACATAAGCAGCAGTGCTGAGGGAGAGTGCAGTGCAGCTGTGAAACACCTTGGGTGTGGAGTTCAATACGATTGTGAAACTGATGCATGTGTGTGTGTGTGTGCGTGTGTGTATGAGTATCCCAAGGCTACGTGTTTCTACAGTGTCATAAACACACACCCTCACCACTCAGCTCGCTGTGCCACACCCTCAGGTGAGTGTGCGTTCCCCTCGGAGCTGTACCTTTAAGAACAAACACGGGGCTGTGGCTCGGGCGAGTCCAGGCGCTGCATTTTCGACATGCGTGTGTGTCAGAGAAAATAGCTTTTCACTGTTAGTCCTCTGATTTAGCACCGCAGGGAAGGGTTTTGCTCCTCTGGTGTCGTAACACAATATAGACGGATAGTTATAACTCAATTCTTAATTTTGTGTGGAGATAATTCAAATAATATACAGTGTGTGCATGAATAGATAATATTTTATCAGAAAAACTGATTAAAATCACTGAGCAGAGACTGTGATAATATGAATGAATGTGACATTTTAGATCATGATTCAGATTTAATCAGCAATGATTCACTGATAAAATGATCAGCCTATTCAGAAGATATGTACTGTATCTAACTGATCATTTATGACTGGGTCATTTGACAGTCTGTTCTCAAGTATCTAATCAGTATGTACCATATTTGTATTTATTCAGAGCCAGAAACTACTTGTTTACATTTCTTTAATTTGCAGTTAGTCCCTGATTCGTTCCTTAGTAACTATGCAGAATTTTGTGGTTAAGTGTCACCCTAAAATCATGACTGAACGTCAATACATTGACACTCAGCTGTAGCTGCAGTGGCCTCTCAATCTGTTTATGTGTGGACAAGATATGTGACCTTTATTTCCCTGGTGGATAGTAGAGGAGAAGAAGAAAAGGGGTGGGGGGGGGGTAATGATGTTGACAGGCTGTGGTGTCTGAGGTTAGATGAGTGGGACAAATAGTGTGAACACAATCACAGAATTAATTTTGGCTGTGATCAAAAGCAACAGTAGCCATGGAGAGATGGAAGTGAGTTGGTGAGACTGAGAAGTTAAACACCAGAGACAGAAGGAGAGCTGTGGAGGACGTAGCTTCACTGTGGTTTGTTGGTTTGTCAGCAGGGTTACACAAAAAGTACGGAACCCATTTGCACCGAACTTAATGGATGGATGGCACATTGGCCAGGGAAGAACCCATTAAATTTTGGGGCAGATCTGGATCATTTACTATGAATTTGAATTTTTCCTCTTAAATTTGGTGTATGTGGTTTGACATTGGCCTTGGCAGAAATTCTAGTGTTGGTACTGTGTCAATATCTTACTACACACACACACTTTATGCATGGAAGTTTACAGTGACAGAAATCCACAATCCAAGGGCATGCTAAGGTAACACACCTCATCTTACTTTACACACCGCTGTTCTTATCAGAACGATAGAGCTGATTCCTGTTTGTGACCTTTTGCAGACAGAGTAGTAAATCACTGGCGCTCCTTCTGCAGGCTGCAGCTCTCACCTAGAACTGGAACATTAGCCCAAACTAGACGGGACAAAAAAATACACAGATGCAAAAAGATAGTGAACAGGCGGATGGTCACATGATTTAGGGATGCCTCTACTTTCAAGAAAGTGATTTTTATAAGCTAGTGTAATATTATCAAAACATCTGCCCAGCATGTGACTGACCAGGACAAAAAAGAGGTTTTTGAATGTCTGATTGAGGTAGGCCTTTGTGGTCTTTAAATACATATCAAATGTACCTTATTTTTCCCACTTTTCCCATTTAATTAAAAAAACTTATACTTCACTGCTCTTTTTTGTGCATTCCTAAGTAACAAGTAATGTGGAATCACAGAGGTGATCCATGCTGGAGCTATTTCCAAAGCCTGTTCATGAAGACTTAAGTAGATAACAGACCTGTATAGGCACCACATTCTTCCCCTGCCCTTTTCCCTTTCTGCACTCCCCTCTTCCACCATTATTTGTGCCTTTTATACTGTATGTGGGCAGTTTCTTTCTCCCTCTCCCTTTCTGTCTGCCCTCTTTCTCTGTGTGCAGACAAAGCCTGCGTTGTCTGCTGAAATGCTGTGTTGCGAGGACAAGCTTTGGGTCAGTGTCTCATGGAATGCCTTGAAAACCATCTAGTGAGGGAGTTTGTTAATGTGCGGGACTGTGCCCAGTCCGATCTCTGGGCTCCTTCTGGCTCCATGACTCATCCAATGAGTCATTACAGAAGAGACAGGCCCTGCGGTGATAGCATGTAATGATCTGCGCAAGAATGCCTGAGGGATTGTAATTCTAAATTCTGACTAATTTCTAGCTTTGGATTTCTGGGCAATGGTTTGTACAGGCCAGCTACTGTACTGCAAACACAACAGTTGCTGTATCTTTCTATTTCTTCTTTTCCTTTAGTTCAGTCTCTAAGTGTCTTTATTCTCTCTTTCCATCCATCTCTCCCACTCTAGGTCATTGTGTTGCTGTTGTTGTCTGGACCAAACAGAGAGACTAACTACTGTCACTAAATGTTTCTCTCTCCCCTCTCTGCCAGCCTATTGTCTCATCTTCTCCTTGTTAACTGCAAGGATATTTCATGTCACAACACACAAGGAAACACAATTTATTATAAGAGCAAGAAACAAGTGTGCGGATTGCACTCTTATGTCACTTAGTCAATATTTCCCCTCTCATGGGCCTTAGGTTATGTTTTGTTTACTCTTGTTTCCAATTGAGTTTAACTGCAGCCTTTATTATAGTGTTCTACTTAGAGATCCTCTGCCAAAAGCTGCCAGTGTAGCCTCATGTACTAGTTTGGATTGCTGCAGCCTGAGGCATCATTGTTAGATTACATCTGCTGCAAAATAACAACAGACTAACAAGGTATTCATCGTTTCTTACTGAAATGTACTTGACAACATCAGCTAGATTTCCAGGCACTTTTGAGGTGTGGTGGGATAGTGTGTGTGTGTGTGTGTGTGTGTGTGTGCCAGGAGAGGCCTGTGGGAGGGGCAGCTGTAAGCAGAGTGGACAACATCCAACCCTCAAGCAGCCAGGCAGTTGCACTCTGCACCTCCTTCAGTGAGGACTCACCTTTCGGCAGTTTAAGGGAGTTTTACCTTTGATAGTTTGTTATGGAGGGCAGGATCACCTGTGGACTGTGGCTGCTCGTTCTCCTCTCGGGATGTGGGCGACTGTCGGCTTTCAACCTGGACACCGAGAATGTCCAGCAGAAGAGCGGGGATCCAGGCAGCCTGTTCGGCTTCTCTCTCGCTATGCACCGGCAGCTTGAGCCGGAGGATAAGAAAATGTAAGACCCAGAGTTTTGTTTTGAAGGGGGGCATGTTGGAGGCCATTTCTTCTGCCGTTACTTCTGTGTCGTCCGAGCCGTGGAGAAACGCTTTTAATGTCTTTAAAATAACTTCTGTAACCATGTAATTAAAATGTCACAGCGGTGCAGACGACTGAAGTTCATTTTTGGTTGTTAGAGAGGATAAATCCTCTTTGAACCCAGTTATGAGAACCGGTGAAGAAACCGTAGAAATACCACAAGAGTGCTAAATGCTATGTGAGCTCAGGTATGTCGCAGGTAGTTTCAAAGCAGTAACTTATTTTCACCAAATCTCAGCAACCCATTTAATTCAACCCCACAAAAGAATGTACTGTACCTTTGATACACCTGCTGCGAGTTTAACCCAAGGCCTACCCCTTGTTAATCTTTATTAAGTATTTCCTTCCAGGTTACTTATTTGTGAATTTTTACCGGACCACCATAGAAGCTTTTTGGTACACGGACACGAACAGGTGCGCGCGCACATGTTTCTCTTTTATTTTTTTGCGGATTTGGGTCTTAAGTGAGACCGAGCCTTGGCGTTTATGGCCAAAACATCTCCTTGAATCATTGTTGGCGTTTTTATGGGCATTGATTCAGAGGGTCTTGTCGGTCTGCATTAAGGCTAAATGCCATCAAGTGGTTTGAAATGCTTAAATATAAACTGAGCTGAGATCAGGGGATATTTTAAATTCTTAAATCTGGGAAGCAGTCTGACTTTGTAATAATGAACCAGCCAGAAATACGTGTTCGCCTATCGCTCAAATTGTTGTGTAACTCCATAATCACTGGTGTAGGAAGTAGCCTTTATCAGAATGTGCATCACCTTTTATGAACTCATCATATGTTTTGTATGTAAAATCAAAATAAAATGAAGTAAAATAAGTAAGAAATAGAGCTGTCAAATAAAAACAGGAGTAAAAAGCAAGATATTTCTCTCTGAACTATAGTGGAGTAGACGTATTGTGAATTGGAGTACTCAGGTGTACAAAAACCCCAGATGGTACAGTAGTCGAGTAAATGTACTTGGCTATACTCCACCACTGTCCATAAGATAGCACAAAATGCTACCTTGTAGATAATGTAATTTAAAGTATTTTACAGTACCAACAGGACAAACAGGTCCTGGTAATGATAAGTTGAGTTATGTTACTATTAAATGCCCTTTTATACAAAAACAATCAATACACAGACTTTTCTGTCTGGTAATTAGTCAAACAGATGAAACTGTACCCAAGTAGTTGTATTTGTCCAACTAAAGCCTAAAGGTCACCACGGTTTGTTTACTCTCTGTGAGATATTCTGGACTATGAAGGCTCAGAGCCACTAAGCATCCCCCTTCTTTAACCTTCTCCACAGAGGTTAATCACTGTTCTTAAACTTATGTACACATTTCTTCTGCAGCTGCTACACACACACACACACACACACACACACACACACACACACACACACAGTAGCAGTTTGTGTCCTAGTTTTAGGCTGTGTCCAAATGAAAGACACATGGTGATCAGCACGAGACCAAAGCTGCCACAAAGTCGTTCTGCTTCAGGTTGTAAAGTTAAATACATGAAAACACAGCACTGTTGAGTTCTGTGAACTGGAGAACAACAGATAGACTGTTGGTAATGTAGACTTAATCTGCAATTTAGTTTTTTTTTTTATAATTGATTAATTGTTTAAGTAAGTTTTAAGCAAAAATGCCAAACATTTGACTGTTCCAGCTTTTTAAATGTGAGGTTATGCTGGTTTTCTGTGTTTTATATGATTATGAGTTAACTGAATACCTCTGATCGGTCAAACAAAACAAGTCATTTTAATATGTTAACTTTGGCGCTGGGGGAATTGTGATGGGCATTTTTCACTAGTTTATGACATTTTATTGACCAAACTATTAACATATTAATCGATAATAAAACAAAATGTCTACTCTAACTCTCGCTGTTGTGAGATGTGATCTCAGACGGGATTTCAGTGGGTGTTTTTAAGATGATGCAGAGCTGTTTGCCCTCATCTGCTATCAAAATACAAAAATATTCCACATAGCTGAATAGTTTTTCAAACAAGTCTTTTTCAACAGAATCTTAAACAGATAAGATAAACTTCATCAGGAGCATGTGCGTGTTACATCATAATACAAGCTTGAATTTGTGTGTGCTTGTTTGAGCAGGAAGCCATGTTTGTTTGGCAAGTGATGGTGCTCATACTGCTGTTACAGAGGTGGAATGTGCTCTCACTGTGGACTGTGTATGCACATGCACTGATGTGATGCCTGTGGATGCGTGTGTGCGTGTGCGTGTGCGTGTGTGTGTGTGTGTGTGTGTATGTGTATGAGATGTTGTGTGTTGTAATGGTGCTGATGCATGCTGTGGCTGAGCACTGAGGCGTTGCCTTGTTGTCAGTCATTTGGAAGATTGTCAGAGACCTCACTGTGCCGCTTGATACATTCCTAACCTGAGGCAAAAAAAAGAGCGATAGATAGCTTGATAAATAGATAAATAGATACATTAGATTCCTTGTGCTGCTGGTGTTTTTCTTTTATTCCGAGAGTTCACGTATGTACATCGCAACAACGTGTGCTGAACAAAGTGTTAGCGTGTGTGTGCTTGTGCCCCCCCCCCATGTGTGTGTCCTAGCTGCTGGGTGTGCACTGTGAGTCACAATCCTTTGCCAGACATGCATTCCAACTTTTATTCAGACTTATGTCTTCTGCTGTTTTTCATGCCCTACAGGGATGAGTGCTGCATGTACCTGCAGGAGAGGGCAGGAGCTGATGGAATCATGTATATGCATGTGTCTATTTAGGTGTGTGTGTGTATGTGTATATGCGTGTGTATCTATGTGTTTAGCATTCCACGGTCAGTTATAATTGCTAGATGGAGCTGTCTGTATCAAAAAATCAAGAGGGAAAGTGCTAAATGCATAAGGAGAGTTTAGGGAAGTTCAAGAACTTGGATGGAGTGTGAGAAATGTGGGGGAGAAAATAAATTCATGTGTGTGTTCGTGTGTTTCTGGCTCTGAAGAAATGTAGCAAGAACAGTAAAGGATATCGACATGTTGTGAGAAAGAGTAAAGCAAGACAAGCTGACATGTTAAATACTAATGCCAAAAAAATGATAGAAGAGATAGGACTGCGAAGTTCAATACTGAAGTCAGCTTTGTGTGTATGTGTATATGGTTTGTGTATATGAGAGCCAGGCTCAGTCTCAGGTTAGTCAAGGTTATCCAACATCAAAGAGAGAGAGAGAGAGAAAGGAACTGCAGAAAAGAAAGAAGTGATGACTGAAAGAATGCTGAGAGGAGCATAAATCAGTTTTACATCTGGGTACCAAACATAAGCTGTTTTTCAACCAGCAGGCTCAAGCCTGGCAGACGGATGCAGAGAGAAGTTGGATAACACGTGACATGAACCTCTGGATCTGCAACCCATTTGGAGTTGAAGTTGATCGGGTGCCACTGGCTGTTGCTAAGCAACGGGCTGTGCCCTAACCGTCAGCCAGTTTTCTGCTAAAAAAACAACACACCTCTCTCGACGGGATACCTCTCTAATGGTCACTCTGCACGCCTGTGTGTCCAAGTGTCACTGCCAGTGTGTGTGTGTCTGGTTTTACGAGTCATTGCACACATGCCCCAAACATACACACACGCTCTCTCTCTGTTTGTCTTAGTGCTTCCTGTAGACTAAGCCTGTGTGTTTGGGGCTTCCTCTGCTGGTGGTGAATGATTAGATAAACGGCTGGGTCACTTGTCAATGGAGCAGCAGGTCACCCTTATCACAGTGATAGTCCATGACACATTATGTCAGCATTTCAGTTTATGGTGCCAAAAAGGAATCATGGGCGACAATAAAGACCACATGTGTCCTTTAGGATGTCTTAAGTCTTTTTGTGATTTGGATCATATGTTAGCAACTAGTGTAATTTTCTGCTGTTTATTACATATTCAATTCATCACTAACATAATCTTGATATAATGTGTTACTTTAGTATTACATCAATTTCGCTGTTTTTGAACTATTGTTGTATTTTCCTGAACGCACTGAACAAGACATTGTTCACTGCCACTGAATGAGTTTCCTAACGTGAATATGTAGGAGGAGGAACTATAGTATCCATTCATTCTTCTGTTAAACAGAGACCCCAAGACACAGTGACCCCTTTTCCCAGAGTCCATATGTCTCGGCAGAGCTCTTTCCGTCGATTCTCCGGACTTCCTCTGTCTTATAGAACAAGAGTGGAGATGTGCCCATCTGGGACTCACTGTTAGTCACAAATCCTTTCTTTGAAGAGCTGACTCATTCAAATCAGACTCATCTTTGATAGACAAGCACAGGCCCTAACAATTTCTCTTAGTGTGAAAACATGTTTTCGGTTTGGTGTGGCTGTGCGCGTAGAGGTGGAGAATTTACTCAAGACTATGTGGTATGAAGTGCTAAGAGGCATTCGCTCCCCTTGTTGTTTTAAAAAAAGACTGGATTGGAAACTAAATGGCTGGGATGAATTATAGTGTTCTGGTTTTTGAAGCAACACCAAACCGATCCAGTGGTTAAAATAGGATAAACAGTGTACACTTGTACATCAAGTAGAAACAGTGTGTCTCTATTGTGATGACTTCTCTAACTGCAGTTTATTGTAGTGAAGTTAAATCACATTTTCTTAAAGTTTCGTGCAAAACTCACATAAATTCATCTCCTAACGGCAGCATTAAGAGTCTCATATTTTTACATCAGATAAATAGATTTATTGCTCCTTTGCTAATCCCCATCATGCCTGCTGAAATCAATATTCATAATGATTTACGCTGTCTCAAAAAGTTAGCTTTATAGTTTGAAATCTCCCATGTGCAATCAGTGTTTGCGGTGCTGACTGTGGAGGTCTACCCCGAGAACATGCTGATCACATTAGGGCTTGGGCTCTTCACTCTGACTATATGTCTTTGTAAATTCCCTCCCAGATGGTGTGCGCATCTGAGAATGCTTTGTGTCTCAGCTAAAAATGGCTTCGCTTAATGTCATCTGGTGCAGACTAGTGTGCTGTGCAACATTAACTCTGAAGGTCAGGGGACAAACGAAGCAAATCAGAGAGAGAGAGATCCGGGAGCATACGTGGACCGAGTGTGTATTGAGAGAGTGTACGTGCCCAACTCTCCACTGTAAACCTCCACAAAGCATCAGTTTAAAGGGGGACATCCTTGACTTGTTTGATTTACTCTGTAGGAAACCCTGGGAGCTGGATGCCCATCGTCAAGGCTTGGGTGTGTCATTTGCCCTTGTCCTCGGTCCACAAAGGCGGCCTCTGTGTGTGTGTGTGTGTGTGTGTGTGTGTGTGTGTGTGTGTGTGTGTGTGTGTGTGTGTGTGTGTGTGTGTGTGTGTGTGTGGAGAGAGAGAGAGATAGAAAGCCTGGTTCAATCAACCCCAGCAGGCGTTTGAAAGGGGTCTTTGACTCGATCGGACCGTGAGGACATGGAACATCAGTTTGTTGGCGGATGTGTGTGTGTGTGTGTGAGATTGTGTGAATATGGCTGCCGTGTGACACAGTAGACTGGAATGTGTTATAACTTAATGTTCAAGTGGAAGAAATGCCAGAGCGCTTCTCGTTTTGAGTCCCAGATGACAGAGGAGTGTCACTGCTCAAACCTCTTTCACAGTGTGCATTTGATTGAGCTGCATATGAGTATTTGGCTTTAAGGATTCATGTGTGTGTCTGTTGCAGGTTGCTGGTTGGTGCCCCAAGAGCGAAAGCCTTACAAGGTCAAAAAGCTAAAGTGACAGGAGGACTCTACAACTGTGACATGAGCTCCAGCTCACCTGGCTGCAGCAGAGTTGACTTTGATAATGAAGGTGAGATATCTGCCATTAGCGCCTGTGCGTTTCCCTGAGATAGTTTTAGTTACTTTGGACACATTTCTTCCCAAAGATCTGAGCCTCAGTATCCTCTTTATCTCTATTTCTGTCCCTGCCTTCTGTCTCTGTGTAGAGGATTTAAAGAAAGAAAGCAAGGAGAACCAATGGATGGGAGTGATAGTCAACAGTCAGGGGCCAGGAGGCAAGATTGTGGTAAGACTGTTTGTCTTTGTGTCTGAGCACGAACAGCTTCAGCAGCATTTTACATTCAATGGAAGGGTGCAGCCATTAAAAAATTGTCTTGGATTTTAACAAGTCAGTTTTTTGTATGATTTATATGACAACAGAAATAGATTATTAGAACAGCAGCTAATGACTGTTTTGATTGTCGAGTCATCTGTTAAGCCTTTAAAATGTATGAATACACACATCACAATTTTAAAACCACTTTGAAACTACTGGACATTGACTAGGATTAAATAATACATTCCTGTTGGTTTAAAAGTGTCTGTGTGCAAAACTTCATATCAAAAGTGCAAAGTCCAAAGATATTGAAATTATAATGATGTAAAATAGAGAAAAGTGGAAAACTGTCACGTCTGAAGTTTTTCAGTTTGATAAAGGTGACATGTTTCTGTGTCTGTTTATGCTTATACTAGATGTTTATTCTTGTGAGTAGGTGTCTCTAGAAAAAGAGATCTCAGTGACATTATCTGTTCAAATAAAGGACAAAAAAAAACTGGTTAAAACATCTAAACGACTAATGGTCACTCATCACACTGTTTTCCCTGGTAGACCTGTGCCCATCGCTACCAGCGACGGAGCAATGTGAACACACCCATCGAGTCCCGTGACATTATCGGTCGCTGCTACGTGCTGAGTCAGAACTTGGTCATCGATCCCATCTCCAGCGAAGATGGCGGCGGCTGGCACTTCTGTGACGGCCTGCCCAGAGGCCACGAGATGTTCGGCTCCTGCCAGCAGGGCCTCTCTGCCACGTTCGACAAGGACTACCACTACCTCATCTTTGGGGCTCCTGGAGCATACAACTGGAAAGGTAGTCTAGTGTGTCTGTGTGCGTGTTTTATTACAAGCCAAATCTATTCCATCTTTCCTCGTCTTAATCGCTGCTCCTCTCTTTAAGGCGTGGTACGCTTAGAGCAAAAGAACGACACCCTCTTAGAGCTGGGCATCTATGACGACGGTCCTTTTGAGGCGGGAGATGAGAGAGAGAGGAACCCCGACCTGGTCCCTGCCCCTGCCAACAGCTACCTGGGTAAAATGCTCAGTCTTCACCTTGAATCCATTTGTTGATTTACGCAAAAGAAGCGTATTCAAATGCCTGTACCTCGCCATCCTGACTTTTAAGCAAGCATTCCTCAATCTCTTTCTCTCAGGCTTCTCTCTGGACTCGGGGAAGAGTTTGACTAAGAAGAACCAGCTGACGGTGGTGGCGGGAGCTCCTAGAGCGAACCACAGCGGGGCGGTGGTGCTGCTGAAGAGAGGCCCGGAGTCAAGCAACATCTTGCTGGAGGAGTACACCCTGGAAGGGGAGGGGCTGGCCTCGTCTTTCGGCTACGATCTGGCTGTGCTGGATCTCAATGGGGACGGGTGGGTGACGAAGGGTGATACATACTGACCTGTAACTTCTGCTTTGAAAAATGCTATTGTTACCTTATACTCACAAACCTGCGATGCTGCTGTTCGTTAGTTGGCAGGACATAGTGGTGGGAGCACCTCAGTACTTTGAGAAGGACGGAGAAATTGGTGGAGCCGTCTACGTCTACGTCAACAAGGCAGGAAACTGGAACAAAGTCAAACCAATCAGAATAGACGGAACTGAGGACTCCATGTTTGGCCTGGCTGTGGAAAACCTGGGAGACCTCAATTTGGATGGTTACCATGGTGAGGCTGCAGTGTTTGTACATATACTTATGTATCCTACTGTCGCCCCTCTGTGAATGAAATGTGTGTGCCTGTAAAACCACACTGTAAGTCACTGTTGTCCTTCTCTGTGACAGATTTTGCAGTGGGAGCTCCTTATGACAATGACGGTGCAGGGAAGGTTTACATCTACAGTGGATCAGCCACAGGACTCCACTCCACAAAACCTGCACAGGTATCTAATAAACTGGTTGAATAGCTGTCTTCACTTTTTCGACTATAACTCTGCTCCAGCATTTTGTTTTGTGAGGTAGGACGGCTGCCAGGCTGAGGAAAATACTTTGGTTTTAATATGTCTTGCTCTGATTATTGTTTGCATCCAAGAAAATAAAATCCTGTCAATAGCAAAAATAAATAAATAATCGGTTTCACCTTCATGCTCAAACCCTAAAAGTAAAAATGTAGGTTTATACTGTTGTGTCTAGCTTACAAATGTGTTTCTCTTGCTCTAGGTGCTGTCCGGCCAGACTTTAGGAGTGAATATGTTTGGCTACTCTTTGGCAGGCAACATGGACCTGGATGAGAACTCCTACCCAGACCTGGCCGTTGGATCGCTCTCCGACTCAGTCTTTGTCTACAAGTGAGTAAACTGCTGCATTAGTCAGATCACGTGTCTCTGATCATGTTTACTGAGATGCTCACTGAGTTTGATTCTCCCAGAACCCATCCTGTTGTTAACATCAAGAAAGAAATCACGTTCAGCCCGAAGGAGATCGACCTTACAAATAAGAACTGTGACAACACCTTCTGGTAAGTTTTGGCTGTGGTGTGGAAATATAGATTATTTTATTTATGGATATGTAGAACAAACTGTGCCAGTACTGTATCTGACTGTGGGTAAAACTGCACCGTGTCTCCAGCTTGAATATTGAGGCGTGCTTCACCTACACTGCCAACCCCAAGAGCTACTCTCCCAGACTGAGTAAGCTGACCCACACTTTTCTTTATTAAAACTATATTTAATCTTTATCATGTTTTCTCTTGTCATCATCAGAAAATACAGATTCAAAGTGAAGAAATAGAACTTTAATTGTTATGATACACAGTAATAAGGAGGTTAAAGTCTTGCACAATATTCTCTGTTTTCATCCGTCATTGTTTATACTTCTCCCTCTTGCGTCATTTCTTCTGTCCCATCTAGCGGTGGCGTACACCATCGAGGCGGATGCTGACCACAGGAAGAACGGTCTTATTCCCAGGGCGACCATCCGCAGCCCCTCCGGCTCTGAAAACAGCTTTGAATCCAAAGGAACCGTCACCATAAACACCAAAGGAGCGAAACAATGTGTTACACGTCAGCTTGTCATTAAGGTAGTGACCGTCTCTCTGGAAAATTTCTCCCTTCTCTTGATCAAAGTGCATCGTGGGTGGTTTGTAATGCGGCGTCATGTTGTCGGTCTACAGGAAAATATTCGAGACAAGCTGCATGGGATCCCTATCGATGTGTCCGTGGAGATCCAGGACGCCAAACGTAAACGCAGGCAGAGCTCAGCTCAACTGCCGCCTATCCTGGACACCAACGAGCCAGCGACGACTCGATCAGAGGTGTGTGTGCACGACACTCAGCGTATGCACTTATCGAAGGATACATGTTATTGACATGTAGTAGATGTTCCCATGATGTTCTCTGTGTGACCTTTCATTTGTGTTTGTAGGTGGATTTCCTGAAGGAGGGTTGTGGCAGCGACAATGTGTGCCGGAGCAACTTGCAAGTGAAGTACCGCTACGGCTACAGGAAAGCTGACAAAGAGACATTCATTCCATTAGGACTGTAAGAGGACACACACACACACACACACACACACACACACACACACACACACACACACATACACACACACACACACACACACACACACAAATCCTTTCATTTTCATTATATCTAATTTTTATAAATGTTCATAAATGTTTATCTATGAAGGGAGGATGGTGTGCCGGTGATCACGCTCAGCGAGCACAAGGACATCACCTTGGAGGTCACAGTAACCAATATCAATGGAGATGATGCACATGAAGCCTCTCTGATCGCCTCCTTCCCGCACTCCCTCACCTACTCTGCATACCGTGTTGCACCCAATGTGAGTCTCTTTTTCTCTGACGCTCCCCTCCTCTCTTTCTCTCTCTCAAACACACAGACACACACACACACACACACACACACACACACACACACACACACACACACACACACACACACANCACACACACACACACACACACACACACACACAGCAATTTGTGGTTCTGACTGGGACTTGTTGATTTCAGGAGCGGCAGGTAACCTGTGAAGCCAACAAAGACGGTTCTCAGGCTGATTGTGAGCTGGGAAACCCTTTCAAACGTGACTCAGTGGTGAGAGAAAATCACCTTTTGCTCCTGTTTAGCTCCGCTGCACACAAGCCTCTTTGTTAATACCTTTTTGAAATTGTGTATATCTGTGTGTTTGTGCATACAGACGACCTTCTACATTATTTTGGGTACAGCACACATCTCTCTCAACATTACTGAACTGGAGATTGATCTTCAGCTAAATACGTAAGTATAACTAAGCTTGTAATCCTGCAGCACAAACGGCTAAATAAGAAAGGTCACAGAGGTTGCGTGATACAAAGATAGATTTTTAAATGATGGTTGGTTCGATGGTTAACTTGTGTGTGACCTCTGATCCGGCAGGACAAGCAACCAGGATAAAATAGCTCCTGTCAAAGCAAAGGCAAAGGTGGCCATTGTGTTGCAGCTGTCTGTATCAGGGTAAGAAACACACACACACACACACACACACACACACACACACACACACACACACACACACACACACACAAACTAACTATGTTTCTGTCTGTACAGACAAGTCCAGCCATCTCAGGCCTACTTTTCAGGAGAGGTCAAAAGTGACACAGCCATGAAGAGTGAAAGTGAGGCTGGCACTGCCATCATTCACCAGTTCAGAGTGAGTACAGGAAATCCACTAGATCAGAAGTCTCCTTAGCACTCTTACAATTTATCTCTCTAATTCACAGATTTTTTTTTAAAATGTATCTAACATTCTGTATTTACTTGTGCTTTAGTTAGATAATTAATACTGTATCAGCTGAGGTGGGACACTCTTCCTGTCTCTGTTAGATAATCAACCTGGGAAAGCGCTTGACAGGCTTGGGCAATGCCACCCTCAACATCCATTGGCCAAAGGAGACAAACCAGGGCAAGTGGCTGCTCTACCTAATGAAGATCAGCTCCACAGGAGTGGAGCAGATAGCGTGCACTCCTGCAAAAGAGATCAACCAGCTTGGCCTGGTCAGTGAAGGCATCACATTAATGTGTGGTGGTCACACTACACACATGTGTACTTTTTTACTTGATGTTATTTTGAAATAGCAGCAGAGGCATGTGGTGGAAGAAGTAGACAATTTAAATTTTTTATATTTATATTGATTTAGACAAATAAAGAAGTTGAAGTAAATTTAATAGTTGAATGTACTTTTTCTTCTCTGCTTTAAGGAACCGAGTAAAACCAGGACAAGAAGAGCAGCAACAAACACCCAGGGAAATGATAAGGGCACCATTTCCTATTATAGTGACAAGAAAAAAGCATCTCTGGTAACACCACAGATCCTATTCTATTGTATTGTGTTATGTTGTATTTTATGTGCATTTGCAACCAGTATTACAGGACTCCAGTAGTAACTTTACTCCTTTCTTTGTTGACAGTCCTGTGACAGTGGGGCAAACTGTGTGATCATAAGGTGCCCCCTGCAGGGTCTGGACAGTAATGCAGTCATCACTGTCCACTCTCGCCTCTTTAACAGCACCTTCATCGAGGTAACAAAGTGCTTTTACTCAACTACTACTTCAGGATTTGAGATGGGTAGAAACTCTCTGGTATTGGCTGTAAAAATCAGGTTCACTGTCCTGACAAGAAAATGCTTTTTCACAAATGCTTTTTGATTAATAATATAAATTTTATATTTCAAATTAAAATTAGAATTATTCAAATGGGGTTTGATCTAAATTTTCTGACTATTTCTTTTTCCTATTGATTATTTTCAAAGTCTCAGTCTTGATGTTAAAGAAATTACATAATATAAATTGAAATTTTAACTTATTATTTATTAATATCTAATGTGCATGTAAATAATTTAAATTAAATATAATCAGTTCATAATAGAGCAGTACTACATTTGCACCAGACACCCTCCATATAAAATCAGCCATCATTGCCGTATATGATCATTAACATGTTCAGTTTAAAACAGTTTATAAATGAGGGTGCAGGCCTGTAGAGTTTTATGTATGAGCTTAACTCTGCTTTAGGTTAAATTAACAATTATTTAATTAAAATCACTCTCTTATCTTTGTAGGCTCTAGTTTATTTTTTTAATTAAAGGGACAAGTATCATTGCAGCAAATTAATGTGTTTTATTTTAGTGTTTTCTTTCTTTCTCACCATCTAAACTTGACATTCTCTTATTTTCTTTCTACAGGATTATTCCAAGGTACATTATGTGGAGATATCAGTGAAGGCCTCTCTACAGATTGATAGCGCAAGGAACACAGTGCTGGAAAAGGCTGAGTCACAGGTAATTAAACGCAACAGAAAGACACATGTGACTGTATCGCACCAACAACTGGAGATGATTATTTACTGGCCTTTCATGCTGATTCTCGTTGTAGTGCATGGGCACCAACACCTCAGCGGGTGTATGGTGAATAAAAGCGTAGTTGAGAGTCTGATCCTCTTAACCCTGATGTTCTGCCGCTGTGTTGTATTCCCCAGGTGAAACTGACGGTGTTCCCAGAGCGTCGTGCTGCTCAGCATGCAGGAGTCCCATGGTGGATCATCGTGCTGTCCATCCTGTTCGGGCTGCTGTTGTTGGCCCTCTTGGCTTTCCTTCTCTGGAAGGTAGGACTGAAGGACACAGGGCCAGGATGCACCCACTGCCCCAGCTACTGAAACACACACACACAGACACACACACACACACACACACACACACACACTGCACAGCTACATTCACATGATTTCAATTGAAAAAGCCTTTCATAAGATTTGAATTTTGGACACCTAATCTAGCCTGTATAGCATTTACAAAACAATTGAAGGAACACATTACAGCGATTACACACATTTTCTAACGATTTGCCTTTCCTCAGTGTGGAGTCTTTGGACAAAAGAATAAAGAGGACTCACCAGAAAAAGAGACACTGACGTCAAATGCATAAAAAAAGAGAGAGAGGGTAAAATTACCCGGCCTGCCATGAATGAGTGAAACTTCTTCTCTTGCTCCTTTTTGCTAAAAAAGCACTGCTTTCTGGTGTTATGCAGGAAGTGGGCAATTCTCACACTGTGACAGGAACGCTATTATCAAGACTTATTTCTGCAAGGAATTTTCAACTAAAAGATTTTCACACATGATTATATGTGTGGGTCATTACAGTTTACCTGCATGGCAAGGGGAGGTGGTGGCTGACGAGCAATGACTGCGTTATTGAATGTTCTGAGGAACTACACTGTGCGGGGGAGGGGGGGGGGGGGCGGCTCTGCATCTTTTTGATTCTCTCCTCCTCTATTTCAAGTTTCTTTTGTTGCTCTTGCACATGCAGTCACTTGGTCTGAAGGTTTCTGTCCCTCTCATTTTAAAAACTGGGGCAATAGAACATGTTCCCTTTCTTTAACAGGAGCGCAGATGGCTTTCTGCACCTCTTCATAGATTCACTGCATCTTGGCTCTTGCCTGTGAAAACAGACTGATGACAATAAAAGTCTCATCCACTCCCTTTGCTTTCTCCTACTTTCTTTAAATAGCCTTTTCTCAAACAGAATATTGACTTTATTTTCCCTGTCTTCTCTGCAGTGTGGCTTTTTCAAGCGTGCCAAATATGAAGACAAGGTTCCCAGTTACAATGCAGTTCGGATCAAACGGGAGGAGAGAGCGATAAACCCTGGAAATGGTAAATGGGAAAACCTGGAAAAGAAGCCGTGGATGACAACCTGGCATGACAACGAACATTATTCTTAACAGCCAATGAAATCTGACTCCACACAGATTCCTGTTGCTTACTGTTGAACTCCTAATTTCACAGATTTTTTTTTTTTTTTTTACTGCCCTGTCTTTGCACAGCCTGGACTGTAAATATCAAGGAACAAAGAAAATCTTTTGTAAACTTTTGTAGGATGAAATACTTGATTGAAACATTCTGATTCAGGGGCTGATTTGATCTTGGATGGTCTGTATGAATCACTGGAAGGAGAGTTGCAGTGTGGGAGATGGTCCTGCACAACTACTGTTTGTCTGAGCTTGTTTTGTACATTGACTGTGTTCACAGTGTTGACCGTGGGGAGGGAGGGTGGAAGTACGGGAGAGTTTCTAGATTTTTGTACATTTTTTTGAATGTTTTGCCGAATTGTTTGTATTTATTCTTCGTGAGGAGTACTGTGTTACGTGGTGTACAGGCCAAAGACTCATGCAATGCATCAACTAAAATGCATTTATTTTCCCCAGTTTACAAGTGCATTTTTCTAAAATATCATCTCCAGTGCAAATGCGTTAACTGGTGAACAATCGGCTTGTATTTCACACTCGAGGTGCCTCAGATTGTACATTAAAAGGAGGAACTGCAACTTATCCACATTTGAGAAATGCTTGGTTTGTAAACTTATTGTTGAGCTTCTGCAGAATTCACCTTCAATTCCCTGGCTCTAAAATAGGAACAAAGTGAGAGCGAACAAAGAGTTTTTTTGAATAAAGTTTTTTGTCATATCCATGTGTTCTGTGTCTTATTATTCAAGGCCAAGTTGAATGAGAGTTTAAGAGAACAGCAGGAAGTTTAAAGCATTATTTATTAATAGATAAAAAAGCATTTACAGCAAATACCTGAACGCGTAAAATCAGCACATTGTCAAATAATTTAGGAGGATAATTTAAAGTTCATGAAAGAAAAAAAAATGGAAAAAAAGGAAAACAGTCTCACACACTTGACATATACATAGACACATAATTGCTGTGAGTGTGAACTTTGGTGCTGGAGTCCTAGTCTGAAGATCTTTCAGTTAAAACCAACCAGTGATCTGTATACTAAATGATAATTATTAACGTGAAGAAGAGAGGATGTGTGCGACAGATCTATTTCTATTAGCTAAATAGAAATAGGTTCAAGTGTATTTGTGTGTGTATCAGACTGCAAACACATCCTCATGCTGGTGGTGCATCCGACGTCACCTTTGTCTTTCCCTTCATAAGAGTGACTCAGTTCTTACGGTTTTGCCGCTGCGTCTGACGTCTCTTACAGACTTCTCCTCCGTCGTCATCCTCGCTCTCTCTCTTCCTTCACCGTCTCTGTCCAAAACTGCATTCTTCTCTTTCTCCTTTTCTTCTTTCAGCCTGGTCTCTCCTTTCCTCTGTTCTTTCTCCTCTCTTTTCTTCATCTCCTTCAGTTTCTTCTTCAGGACAGAGCGGTCACTTTGACTGCACACACCCAGAGCCTGATGTTAAACAAAAGAAACACGTGTCGACAGATGTTTACAGGTTCAGGTTAATGATCCTTCAACGAGATCAGATTTTAATTTTTTAAATTTCACTGCAATTGATTAAATATAGCTACATCTGGCAGTGAAAGTGGTTTAAGCCCAATACAGAGGCAGTCTCACTGAGGTAGATACTTCCAGTTGCACACACTATTATCACATATGACGGTATTGCCATATACTGTAGTGTATGTTGACTGATAAGATATGTCTTAAGTTAGAAAGTGTGGACATTATATATTTTGTCCACCAGAGAGCACTGACCAGTGTGTTTTTTTAAACTGAAAAGTTGGCAACAATTCTGTTTTTTTGGGTTTAAGGGTTCCCAATGTTTGCTTATGTTACATTTTTAAGTCAAAAACTTCATCCGACATATCCTTATCAGACTTTTTAAACTCCTAAATACTGATATTCAAAAATACATTATCGGTAGGTATCGGTCTACATCTCATACCAATTGGTATTTCCAAACATTTTGAGCTTCAGTTCAGATTTGAATTAAACATAAAACTGAACAGATAAGAAAAAAGATTAGTGGAAAGAAACAGAATACACATACAAAAAGGGGCAACATATGGCAACATGTGATAAATAAAAAGTTGTATAAACAAGACAAATATAAATATGTATATTCACATGTACACACACACACACACACACACAGCAACGAAAAATGAAATGTAAGAATAAAGAAATGTAGGAGTTTATCCGCCTGGGATGGCAGGATTCATGAAAAATGGTATCCTCCTAAAACTGGCAGGTGACCCCTAGGAGTAGTTATTTCAAGAGTTTAAAAAATGTTAATATAAAACAAAGTGTAATCACATGGACTATTTGATATTCGTTAAATTAGAAAAAGTAAAACATGAAAACAACAGAGGTTCAGCCCAGTGCCTTTAACAGCTAATTAGTTATGGTCTTGAAGTTATAATATTTGAAATGTGTAAAATTTTCCTTTATAATTAATTTAATGTAACGCAATATATATATATAAAAAAAAAAATACAGAATCAGCACATCTGTGACTCCAACAAGATCATAACTGCTCACCTTGAGTTTCTCACTGTCCATGTTGAGCAGCTGTGTCCCATCCACTCCTCTGGCAGCGAACTCTGACGTGTATTGATCCATGTTCAAGGCGACTAACCACAGACAGACCTGCTGGTTGTTCCACTCCAAGACGGGTCGACTTTTCCACTGATTGTTGTTATTGGTGGGAACTGGGTCATCGTCCAACGTCTGACAGGACACCAGACATGGTGCCAGGAGGAGACAAGGAGAGAGAGAAATCAGAGGAAGCTGTAATTAAATTAGAGAGTAGCTCGGGAGAAAAGAAAAAAAAACGTAAGGCAAAGAGTGCTCCGTGGGGAAAGAAGCAAGGGAAAAGGAAATTAGGAGGGAAAGGATAGACTCACCTCGGTGGAGGAAAAGGTGAAAGTGTGAGAGTGTCCAGAGAGGGAGTGATCAGAGGCGTGACACACCATGCTGGAGCTGCCCACGGGAGAGCCAGCACTCTGGAACCAAGACAAAACAAACCTGGGCTCCCTACACACTCCACATCTGCTGCATGCTCACTCATGCATGTGTGTTTATTTTAAAAAGGATTTTTGTTTATATGTAGAGAAGAATCTCAATTAGAAGGTGGGTGGGTTGGGGGTGGGGGGGTGGGGGTGGGGTGGGTCATGCAGAGAAGCCTGAGAGTCTAATTTGTATACTTGTTACTTCAACTGCACGTTGCTTAGTCACCATGGAGCCATGTGCACATATTGTCTGCATACATGTCCAGCTTTTCTTACCTGATCTCTTCTGCCCGTGGTGGTCAGGTATGGCAAACTGCTGCTGGACACAGACCGAAGCCTCTCCCTGCCTCTCCCCCCCCCTTCCTCTCCTTTCTCCTTCCCTTTCTCTCCAAACCAGGGAAAGGGCAAGCAAGACGGCATGGAGGTGACTGAACCTGATGGAGAAACGCCAGTGTTCTCATCCACCAGGTCACCGCATGACCCCCTGGTAGAAAACAATGACTGTATTTTAATCAACACACAAATAAACCCAAGTGAAGTCAAACGCTTACATATGCTCAACACTCAACTTTTATTTTGTATTTTTTTGGGCTTTCAGGCTGAGTGGAGGGAAGTAGAGCATTCATATCATGGATGAAGCAGAAATACTTACTGCACTGTCGAGGTATATTCAGAAAATCTATTTCCGTCTGCCTTCACTGTACCGCCAAATAAACTTGTTTGTGATATTTCTGCTTTTTTTAAATTTCTGGCATTTTTGTGCATAAATTAAAATGTGCATAGAAACAGGTGACAAGGCGCTTGAATACCATCAGGAGCGGCAGTGTGCAACAGAAATAGATACAATAGTTTGGATCATCAGTTTTATTTATCTATCAAGTGACAAGTCAGGGAATTCAACATTAATAGCTTGTTTTTGTACAAGGTATACAACCATTTTGCTTAGTTTAGTTTTTGTGCATATGTGATGTTATCACACCTGTTGCTCGTGGACCTTCTGCTGTGTTTTTCACTTCTCCTTTTGCTGAGAGACTTGCGAAGGCCACTGAAAAAGAAAGTCAGGAAAAAGCAAGATGGCTGGTCAGTGTCCTTATTAAACCAGCCACTGTGGCAAAAAACCAGGGCTTTGCTATGGCTGAAAGGGAAGCTTTGAAACTGGGGAATACTTTATATTATAATCCCAAATTTTTAGGCATAAGAGACAGAGACGCTGCACCTGAAGTCTGGAAATTTCCTTTTGGATTTTCTGGAAGCTGAGGATTTGCATGGCGAAGGAGTGACAGTGTCAGTGATGTAGATGGGAGGGGTGAAGACGGAGCTGGTGGGAGGATGAGGACTGAGGGCTGAGAAGGAGGAGGTGCTGGACATGTCGCTTCTACTGCTCCTTTGTGCCAGTGTGGGAGCGGACAGTGGTTGGCTCTCGTGTGGTGTATGGACTTCAACTTCCTAAAAGCAACATGTGAGGACACGTGTAAGTTTAAGTTCCACCGTTTGAAACACAAAATTTCATCTTTCAGCTCCGTCTCTCACCTGTTTTCTAAAGCTCTCTCGGAGTTTGTCTCGAGATGGTGGATGGCGCTTGGATTTCTGGGCCAGCTGAGCTCTGGCTATATGAGCACTGGAGTCTAGACGTCCTGTATCAGGGACTGGAATAATCCAGTCTGGAAATAAGACAAACAATTTATTTTGCTTGGTAAAGACACACATTAACTTCAAGGTTTGAAAAAAAAAAAAAAAAAAAAAAAAAAGAAAAAAGAAAATATTACACAATTTTTTCCTTCACTGGAATGACATTCAACAAACAAACAAAACAGTACACTCAGTAACACAGCTACATACCTATGACTGAAGAGTCCACAGAGTGGTTCTTTCTTTCAGCTACAGGCTCTTTTCTCTCTAGCTGTGCTATCTGTGACAAATGATGTGAAACAATGACTACAGAGAAATGGCAGGCTAAGTAAAGTAAATCCACACAGGACTGAAGTCTCCTCTCACCTGGATTTGCAGCCTTTCAACAGTGTCTCTATGTTGCTTATCTCTCTCCTCCATTTCTCTCCTCAAATCCGCCTCCCTGTGCTCCCTCTCCTCATCCCTGAAACACATTTAAAACCTTTCATTCCAAACCTATAGGGGCAAAGACTGTCAAATTTATTCTTACTACACTTCTAGTAATTGAGGAGTAGTATAATTTTGTCAGAGAAATAACAGAATTGGCAGTCTTCATAAATACCTGCTCTGGTATTCTCTGACCAGTCTCTTGGCTTTGCTGTATTTGATCTCTAAGCTTTCCGATTGGCTCTGGGCATCAGCCAGTCGCTGGCTCACAACCCTGCACAGTGTCTGGGCCTCTTGCCAATACCTGATAAATAGAGGGAGGGTCTGTTAACACATTTTCAAAATTCACTCTCTTCATAATGTTCCTCAGCATGATTATCCTTCTGCCGGCTTTAAGCTCCCACCTGCTCTTTAATGGACTTTTAAATTTGGAATCTATCACATCAACCATTGCGGAATACACTACAGAAAAATGGAGATGAAACATAAGAGTCTGTAGCATCGTACTTCTCTAGTTTGTCAGCTTTCTCGTCTCCATCCTCTGCTCTCTGCTCCAGCTCAGCCCTCTGGTTCCCCCAACACACCCGCTGCTCCTTCCATGCCTTTAACTGGAAAACACAGCAAAAGATTATGTTTTTATGTATGCATGTCTACAACTCATGTCATATGCACAGGGGCAAGACAAGGGGTTCCAAAAAACCCCCCCAAAAAACAAAAACTTTTGTTATGTCACACACACACACACACACACACACCAAGAACTTTTCTTACAGTAAAGGAATCAGTTTACTTCTCCAATCCTCTTACTTCAAGCGTGTTGATACAACAAATGGAGTATTCACTGATCTAATGCAGTTGGATAGAAGAAAGGCAGATTTTTCAACTGAAAGGCTTTTTGCCAACCCAGTTATGTCACAGTCGTGATTACTTCAAGGCAAAGGCAGAAAAAGCAGGGCTGACGTGGAGAAGTGTTGGAACACAGCCCGTGTCCTAATAACTCCACACCGAGCCATCTCATACACAGTTAAATGGGTCACACTGTTCCAAATATGGATGCAAAAGGTAGCGTATTAAAGTGAGTACAGTTATTGGTTTGTGTGTGTGTGTGTGTGAGAGAGAGATCTCAATCTCAGCAGAGTGACCTACCTTTTCTCTAGCGTGGTGAAGTTGGGTCGTTCTGTTTCGTAGTTTTGACTGGAGCTATGGAGAATAAGGGCGGAAAGGAAATAGACATGGATCAGTTTAGTGTATTAAAATTCATGTGAAACAAGATGCACTTTTACTAGTTTTACATCATAAACAAGGGATAATTCCGACTACTACGTATTGATTTTCCAATATAAAACTAAGATGATATGAATGTAAATATAATTGCTTCGTCTTTGAGTCTAAAAACCTCTCAGTATCAAAAAAGTTTTTTTTATGCATTGTTTTAATGGATGTTAATTAATCAATTAATTCATGCTGAATGTAAAGTACCTGCTGGTATTTGAGGCAAAGCTGGTAGCTGTCCAGACTGGAAAGAACAGACACATCCTCCTCTTCATCTTCTTCTTCTTCGTCGTCGTCCTCCTCTTCTTCTTCTTCTTCAGCCACTGAACCCTTCTCTGACATGCTGCCATCATCATCATCCTCATCTCTGCTGGCTCTTTCTCTCTTCATATATAAACACAAACACACAGTAAACAGCGCAGCAAAACCATATGGTAAGGCTTAACAAGTCTGAAAGCTCCACTCTTCTTCAAGGAAACACACCTTTCTGGATGTTTTATCCATTTCCAGGCTCTCATTGATCAGTCGTGCCACCTCGCTCTCCACCCCCTCTTTCTCACGACCAATCAAAAACCTGCAGACAGAGAGGCAAATCAGTTACAGCTGTGAGCGATCGCCACATCCCATAACACACAAAACAGATTGTGTTGTGGGACAGGCTTTTTTCACACAGCAGACAAAGCAGCTAAAACACAGGTGTTACTAATAACATTAATTAAATCATGACGCTGTGACATGCACCAAGCAAGCAACTAAACAGAATTCACCCGTCGTTAACTTGAGTATTTACACCTGTGCGTTTTCTGCTGTGAAGAAACATCCATCCAGTTGTTGCAGTATTGTTGCTACAAGTTTTCTTGTTGCAAAACTTACTGTTTTGGCTTACTGTAGTACTTACTGTACTGGCTCTGCCACTGATTAACTGAAAAGGTTTTTTTAAGTGAAATTTTTAAAGCAACAGGCCAAAAATGAATTTTGATATCTTCTAAATCTCCTATGAGCAAGACAATATACTCACCCTTACTCCCAAGTAGAGAGTAATTAATGGAAATAGTGGGAAATACAAAATAGTACAAAAGAACGTTTGCTACATGCATAAAGACATTGCAAACCTTGTACTATAATAAACATTGCTCTGTAACTTACTTGACAAGGCCTGATGTATTCTTGAGGACTGTGGCTGCAAACAGCTGGGAGACTCCAACCAAACTCAACCCATCCACCTCCACTATCTGGTCATTCACCTGAATCCTGACACATATATACACACACATACATACACACACACAGACACACACACACAGACAAAAGACAATGTCACTTTATTGGAGCCATGCTGAGTCCTCAGTAAACAAGACTGATGCCAAAAATGCACCTTCCATCCTTCTGTGTTGCTCCTCCTTCAGTTACTGTCTTGACAAAGATTCCCAGTTTTTCCAGTCCCTGGTCAGCCCCTACACCCATTCCTATGATACTGATACCCAGACCATCGTCTCCTAGAGGGAAAAAACATCAAGAATTTGTCCTCAAATTAACAACATCAGTCAGCTGCTGCACCATACAGAAGCAACAAATCTGTAATGAAAAGGAAAACTCCTCACAGGAGAAACTTACTACTCGAAGTAAGGTGAGAATATCTCATAATTCTGTTTTTTTAAACCTACTATATGTCAGCCTTGTATTATTTTTCGACCAACTAAATTGTTTGGTTTTGGTTAAGAGGGTATGCTTTGAATAGTTGCAACAGTGCACACACAAATAGCTGTAGTGACATAACTGACTCAATTGACCTCTATGCATAAAAAGGTAGAAAAAATGTATAATCTTTTCTTTGTGGTTTCAGATGTTGGCCCTGAAATTCAAACGGCCACCAAAAGGACAACAGAGGGAGATACAAACCCTTTTCTATCTCCACTGGAAAGACGTCCATCCTGTCCACTCTCTTCTCCAGCTCATACTCGGCCGAGGCGGACACCGGGTCAATATCCTCATTGTGTCTGTCGTACTCTGCGTTGGAATAGGTGCTGTACACCTGACAGACAGCAAGCAGTCAATATACATTTAGAAAAAAAAAAAAAAAAAAAAAAAAAAGAAATCACTGGAACGGCCTCAGATTACAGCAACACTGATGTCAAATTCAGGCCTAGTGAAAATCTGTTTTATGCTCTGATGGCTCGTACACGTGTTCACCATGGAGCGAGACTGCAAGGAGAACCATCTGCAGCTATTGACACAACAAGACACTGTTTGTGTTGGCAAATCTGCCAGTGAGAGTGTGTGAGAATCAGAGTGACAACACTTGAGCAAACTGTACAAACAATTATAGGATTGTAAAAAATCTGTGCACACACACACACACACACAGACTTCCCGTGTATCAATTACTGACACTACACTGACCGCTGCTGCAGTAGTTAGTCATGACCTGAGTTACTCTGCTGCCGTATGCGTCCACAGGAATGTTTTCTGTACATTTATATCTAGGCAGCTCGGAGCTGAGAGCTGACAGAATGAAGCATGTGGGATCTTGCCTCTTCTCCTCCCTCTATGAATCAGAAAAATGGCTTTGGGCTAAAACTTCTCTTATATGGATTTAAGCTGCAGCTGAAAATGACAGTCACATAAATCTACAATAAAGAGCTTCCTTAAATGCACAGCTTTAGAGACAAGTGACCCTGCAGCTGTCAATAAAGTGAATAAAGAATGCTGAAAGCCAAAATGTGTATGAGTTTTTTCTTAAAGATTTCCTTACCTTGATTGGTGCTGAGGAGAATCTGACCTTTCTCGTTGCCGCCTCTGATGCATCCTCATCATCCTGATCGGGAACACCAGGAATTTCCTCATATTTCAATAAAAGCTGATTTTCTGCATGCAGTGACTGTCCAAAACCCTGGCTTGGTGATGTGGAATGCTCTGGATGACACTGGGATTCCTGATCATACAAAAAAGCCCTGTTCTCAATCCCACAGATTACTGCAGATCCTGTCTGGTCCTCTTTGACTCCTCCTATGTCACCTTTTCCATCACTACCTCCTCTGTACGCCACGTGCTTCACCTCCTCATTGGTGTGTTTAGACATTGTACCTTCTTCTCTCTCCCTTTTCTCTTCTTTCTCAGTTCTTTCCTGCTCTTGACTTTCTCTACATTCTTCCTCTCCACTTTCCCCTTTCCTCCTTCCCTCAACTTCCTTGTCAACATCCTCCTCTTGCATCATACCCCTCTCTTTCCTTCCAGCACTTTCTTTCACCCCTGCATCTGTCTTTTTCTCCCTGTCGTCCCCCTTTTCTGTTGACTTCCTAACAGCCCCTGCAACGAACTCTCTGTTCTGCTCCTCCCTTTGACCCTCCCATGGTTCATTCACCTGCTGATACTTGTCTCTTCCACTTTCTCCGTCATCTCCAGTCTCTCCTTTACACGGCATGCTGGTGGATAACTGCCTGTGGTGTTCTTCCGAGGGAGCGACTGGCCTACCTACTTCTCTTTCCAGCATATAAGATCCCGGTGTTGTTTCCATGCTTGATTCAAAAACATCATCCACAAGGGCCTCCACACTTTCTTCTACATTTTTGTTGATATACTTTTCCCCCTCATCCTTAATCCATTTTATGATCTCTTTTTGCTCCTTTTCTTCTTCATTCTCATCGCTTTCTGATGACTCTGTCTTTACGTCGACAAGTTCTGCTCTCAGTGGCTCCTCAGGGGTCAAGCTGAGGTCAGGAGGCTTTGGTGAGGAAATATTTACGAGAGGTAGGTTTATGGATTTGTCTTCATCAAAGTCACCCTCCTCCGTGTGCTTCCTTTTCTCACTTGCTTCTTCCTCTCTTTTCACCTGGTTGCCTCCTCCTCTCCCATCCTCTCCTTCTCCTTTCTCATCTGCCATCCCCTTGCTTCCCCTGCCAGTCACAGGTTTTGAAACTCCTCCAACCTCCATCACCTTGGTTTCAAACAACCTGCGGGTTACAGAGAACTTCTGAGCCAGAGCAGCTCTGTCAATATCCGTTATCTCATCTGATCTAGAAGGTTTATCTTGCAGAGAGGATTCAGGAGTAGAGATGCAGGCCACAGTGCTCACAACAGATGAGGAACTCATGACTGAATGTCTGGATCCAGAGAAAGGTGAAGTTTGGAGCTGCAGGCTAGGATTTTGGGGGGAAACGAGGGGTGTGACGCCAGGAGTCAGCGCTGGACCACCATCTTGTTTCAGCTGCTGGCTGTCCATTTGGAGGAAAATGTTGTCTCTGATCTTGGTCCCCCTCGTGCTTTGGACCCTCCCTCTGCTGCCTGTGCTGCTGTTGGTGCGGGACATCATGGGATCTGACATGCTGGATGGCAGCCTGTTTGGATGCACAGCAGAGCGCTGGGCAGCAGCAGCTTTGGTCCCTTGTTGTAAACTGGTCCCAGAGTCGAATGAACACTTAATGGCATGGAAGTCAGACTTGTAGGTTATCCTGTGAGGGGAGGCACTTCGGCCTTTGCTGTCCGTCCTCATCATTTGAGATCGGATGCTCTCTGGAGTGAGAAGAAAACTGTGAAGAGAAGTTTTCACAGCTAATGAAAGCACCTGGGCAAGTGTTGAGCAGGTAGATAATGTTTGAGGATTTGCTGGTACAGTGGGATGGTAGCTATAAGGCAAAAAATGTGCTGGATAATAGGGCTGGTGTTTTAAGAGGTTACTTCATTTGTTGGATGACAGCAGGTGACAAAGGCAGGCTCTTGGTCTGTAAACTTCATGGTGTTTAGGTAGCCTTCAGATATTTACACACTTTCCACATCAAAAGTATCCTGGAAATACAGTTTGAGAAGAAGAAAATGTTTGACCATTAGAACACTTTCATTGGGGTGAAATGGCACAATTCAGTCGGCATATAGTACAAATTACAGCCAGGACAAACTATCAAACTACAAAGCTATAAACACTGTCATTTAACCAGTAATTTGCAGATTGAGTACTCACTTAGCAATTGGAAGATCAGCTCAGCCAAAAATAAAAAAAACGTAGCCTGAATACGTCCTGTTTACCGTGTTACTCGACACAGGTATTTATGATTAACTTGTTTGCAACAGTGGCAATGAAGTACTCTGGTCGCTGCTTTCAATTGGTATCGGAAAATGAACTGACAGTAAATAACACAGGAACGTGGTAAATATATCTGGCGGAAATGCGCACTTTTTAAAATTAAATAATAGTTATTGTGAATAAGCTTCTTTTGTTGTAAAGTTTGTGTGTCAAACAAAGAACCAAAGATGATATTTGGAGTTTTTTTTTTTTATTTAGTGTGCCGTGCTAATTCTGGTAACTGAACCACAGTTTGATAGCTGGTGTGTTCTGTCTTTTCTTCATTGTAATACACGTAGTTTACAGCATATATACACCAAAACTAAGACACTAAAAAAAACAGATTCTGCGACACTAGCCTTGTGGCTAACTGTGCCAAAACTGATACAAAACTAAAGCGTAATGGGAAGAGCGGGAGTTTACGACAGCATGTGAAGGCAACAAATCTCACCAACTAAGTGGAGTGCGCGCGCAGTTTAAAGGTCGTTACAAACGTTGGCTCGCCCCGAGAGTTAAACAAACTGCAAACTACACGGGAAAATTAACTGGTAAATTTTAATGTTAGCTATTTTTCTCATAATATTCCCGACAGCTTCGTCTTACCGTAGCAGTGTTGAACGTTTGAAGTCAGCCGGTGCTGACGGCTCCCTCGCTGTGATAAATACAGACAGATGGCGACTCATGTCTCTAAATACTGTAACTGGATTATCCCGAGGTAATCCTGTGTAAACTACTCCAGTTAATGTGAAACACTGACGGTGAGCGGGTACCAACACTAGGGCGAGTTAGCCTACATTTGAAGGGCCAGTTCTTACACCTGTGCCTTGTAATGTATTTACCCACAGTAAGGAGTCTTAATAATTTTAATTACTGGTAATTTCAGCCTGTTACAGCTAGTAATGCCATTGTGTTAAATGAGCATTTGTAGTATGAGTGGAGGCTAATGTTGTGCCATTGATGCTAACTATCACAACAAATATTGCATTTATTTACTGCGTCTATTCATTATGGCCAGTAATTGACATTGTAGCATCAAAAACTGCACATATAGTCTAGTTGTATCTTACACTACTATCAAACATGCATGTCAATGCTACATCCACTTACCTTTACCTGTCTTTCAGCATCACTGCCAACATTGCCATCTGCTGTGAAAACCGATATCTCTGTGACAGAGGCTCTTCTGGAGTCAGAGGTAAGCTTTGTGTGAATATTCACCTGTGTGCATGATGCAGGTTAATGCAGTCAGCCAGATCTCCCACTATCTACCTGTGTATGTGTGAGGCAAACAAGAGCAGTGATGCAGCACCTGCTGATGTATGTGTGTGTGTGTGTGTGTGTGCCTACCTGTGTGTGTGTGTGATGCAAGTGGGTGAGTCGGTGCAGTACCTATGTCTGTCTGTGAAGCAGGCTTGTATGGCAGATGGACTGGACTGGACTGGACTGGACTGATCAGTGCAGAGCCGAAGAATGGTTCTGCTTGCTGTGACCTGGATCTGACAGGAGACCATTGTCCCAGGTGGCACTGGGACCTAGTTGATATAAATACTGGCCAATCACAAAAGCCTACTTCTGAATGAGGCTAACCAAGAGAGGGAGGGGAAGTAGGGAAAGTGAATTGAAGTAGAGATGGAAAATGAGGGAGTGATGTCAGGGTGGGTGGCAAAGTAAATTTAGAGAAGTAGAGGAGGCAAGAAAGTGAGGGAAGCAGAGTAGATGGAGACAAAGAATGAAGTGAGAAATTTAACCCAGATTTGTTGAGGCAGTGGAAATGTGAAAGACTCAGGAGGTGGCTGTCATAAGAATTGAGAGGTACAGGTGGAGAAAAAAAATTACAGGTATTATAGGTGCTGTGGAATAATGGCATACCCCTTCTGTTTAACCCAACTGTGGTATTTGTAATTGAAGGCAAGTAAGATAAGTTTGGAAATACAGGGATCTGTGTGTGCTGGCATAATCCTCAACTCCTATTTCTCTCACCAGCAGCAGGTCACCTTGACTTCTACAGAAGTTTTTGTTCCTCCCTCCTCAGGCACACATAGGGATTTTTCTTTCAATTTAGACACTATGACAGCTATGTCTACACACACGCACACACGCACACACACACACACATACTCACACACACACACAGTCAGTGTCCAGTGCCATTCTGTTTGAGTTTGTGGAGTTGAAGTGTATTTCAGGTGGAGGGATAGTGGGGTGGGGGTGCGGCAGGAATGAACCTGACAAATCTGTGTGCCTTTACACAAAACTATGAGACACAGATTTATGGGAAAACAGCACATTTTCCTTGCTGTCCTCATTTATTTTATTAACTTGACTGTATTGGCTGATTACTACAGATACTGTATAACTGTATCGGGTGTGTGTCAGTTGGTAAGTAACAAGAATGTTTGAGATTAGTGTCGTGAGATAGTTTGTCCACCAGAGAGCACTGACCACTTTATTTGTGTCTATCTTTGAACTGTAAAATACCCAACTCAGTGCATATCTTGGTCACTGTTCTTTCATAAAATAATTGAATCTAATATTTTACTTATGAATTTACAGCTGAATTATGTTCATGTTCATGTCAAAATTGAGCATCTGTGTGCCTTTGGTACTAATTACAATTTTAGCTTTAACTTTAATGAAAGGTTACTACATTAACACTGTTAATTTAAAGAGTCAAATGAGGGGGATAGGACAGATGCTGTCTTTAGACTGCGATACTGTCTGACAGCTGATGATATCAGCTCTGTGTGTGTGTGTGTGTGTGTGTGTGTGTGTGTGTGTGTGTCATGTAGGCTGCATTTGGCAGACAGTCATGCCCCATATGGTTATCTGTTCAGTCAACCATATTTTGAGTTCCCCAGCTCCACGAGGAAATTGCACTCAATCCCCTGAACATTTAACTGCAGACAGACAGACACACACACACACACACACACACACACACACACACACACTCTCTCGACCCATGGCTGGGATGAACAGACAAGTCAGCAGTTTAAATGAGCAAAGCACAATGTAGCAGTTCTGCAGCTCTGCACAGTTAGTTTATACGGTGCTGTGAGTAAGTCTGACGTGTCCCTTAAATGGTGTGTTGATGCATCTATGAATCCATAAACAATGACACTGCCACTTTGTGTCTAAATGTGTGTACTGCACATGTATTATTTTAACAACATCAGTAATGATGTAATCCTGTGCAGATTGATATGTAAAGCTTGGCATTACAGAGTCATTGATTCAATTCCTACCAGGGCCAAACATAATAAAAACTGATCTTCATAAAGCTGTGATGTGCTTTGAAAGAGGCTTATGCATAGATATTTTTGACCTGCAGAGGCTTCAGGTGCACACGCATATGCACTTGTTTAAAAGTTTTTGTCTTTTCAAGCCTTATGTTAAGTTAAACCATATTTTATTGCTCTGTCTTCATGAAATTTAGTGCCCTGGTGTTCTTTTTATGCTATTGTGATTTAGCTTTCACTTCTCCACATTTTTCAAAAAGAACATTTTAAAAATAGAACATTACCCTTTCTGAGACAGCTGGCAGTGACGCACACATACACTTCATTTATGGTGAAAACATGCCCAATCACCCCCCAGTATTACAGTCATGCGTGCTGAAGTGCCATTTCAAACAGATGCGGCAAGGCAAGTGCAAACATCCATACGCAGCGTCCACAGATTCAACAGGTGCATTTGCACATTTCACACATTGTAAGTGACCTTGTGCAGCAGAACTAACAGCTTTAACGATGTCAGTGTGCTGGATGAGCGGAAGAAAATGTGGTCCCAAGATGCTGTTTTAATTCTCCTCTCTCCATTATGTCTCATTTATCATGTTACAAACAATCCTTGCCCTCCTGTCTGTCTGTCTGTCCTGCCATGCTTTTCCTGAGCAAAATATGAACACAGAGTATGCCCAGATTCCTCTTATAACTGCTGCTCTCTCTGTTATTCTCTCCCTGTTTTATGGGACATAAGTCATAGTTTTAGGCAGGGCCGAATGCTTAAAACATCCCTGCTCCTCATCAACTGCTCCCTTTCCATCTCCCTCCCCTCCTCCCTTCGCTGCGGTGACAGACTGCATCCCTGCTGCTGCTGCCTCTCACATCACTTGGGTTGAAACAAGTTGCTGTTCATATACATGAATCCTTCAAGGCCACGGCAGCTGCATCTTGCAGTGGTCTTTATTTAGCTAGATCAAAGCCGCTGTATACAGAATCAATGTTCATATACAGCTTGTGTATGCCATGCTGCCTTATAAAGACAGTGTAATAATGACACTGCACAGATTTGGTTGCTTTTCTTCTTTCTCATCACAAGACCTTTAACCAAATCCCATTTTTCATTATGATACTTTGAATATCAAGATGGTCATACAGCACTGGGTCTTGTATAGTATATTTTGTAGGAGGTAAGGAGGTATATAGGTATATTAT